CCCCAAATTTTCCCCAAATTTTCCCCAAATTTCCCCAATTCTGTACTTTTTTAACCCCATTCTCCCCAAATTCCCCTAAATTGTACTTTTTCACCCCAAATTTTCCCTAACGAAGGACCAGTTAGGGGTTTCCTGAGGAAAAGCTTCGGGGGGGGGGCCGGACCCAAAATTCCCATTTTCCGCCCCAAAACGGGTCAAACCCGCAAAAGGAGGAAAATTTGGAAAAATGCCCGGGCCTAGGGAAATTAATTAGTGATTATTAAGATTATTAAGGTTATTAAGAATCCCGTTAATGCCGGAAACGGCCCCAAAAAAGGGCTGACGTTCCCAAACGAGCACCAAAAAAAAAAATCCCTAATTTTGCCCCCAAAATCCCTAAAAATCGGCCCAAAATCCCTAATTAAGGTAATTAATGATGAAAAAAACCCCAAATGCAGAAAATTTTGAAATAATTAATTAGAAATAATACCATCAATTAATTAGGGAGTCATTAATGCTGCTTCATACTTAATAATGGCCATTAATACTCAGCCACACCCACTAATGCTTTCATCGGCCCTCATGAATATTAACATCCCTCAATGAAAATGCTAATTAGAGACATTAATATTAATTAAGAGCCATTCATAGCTATTCTTAGCCGTCAATAATCATTAATATTCATAAATAGACAGCAATAAATGCTCACGAGTGCGCGCCAATCCCCATTAATAGTCGTTAACACCCATCCTCGTTAATATTCACAGCCGCTAATCGCCGTCACGCTCATTAACAGCTAGATCCTCATTAATATTAATGAACCAAGCCTCATTAACGGCCAGCAGGGCCACCGGCGCTCATTAATACTCCCCGACCCTCCCTCGCATTCACCCCACGCTCCTCTCTTTTATTCGCCCTGATTAATATTCACAGAAGCTCATTAATATTCATAAAACCGCCAAACAGCTCCCCCGCGCCACTGCGCATGCGCGAACTCCCCGGCCTTCCCTTCTCCCCAACGCGCATGCGCGCGCCCGCCCTCACTTCCGCCCTCACTCCCCCTCGACTTCACTTCCTGTTTCTGCGCATGCGTACCCCGCCGCTGCGCAGGCCCCGCCCCTCGTCTCTCCCCACTGCGCATGCGCGGCGGCTTCCCGCCATTTTCTAGCCGGGAGGGGAACTGCCATTACCGCGCCGCCACAGGGCGTGAGGGGAGGGGAAAAGCGCCATTTAACGCCCCTAATTAACCCCCCCTCAGTTAATTAACACCCTTCCTCGTTAATTAACCGAGCGGGGAAGCCCCTCAGGGTCCCACAAAGGTTTCCAGCCTTTGGGAAGGGGAAGGAAAATGGCGGCGGCCGCGTTCGGAGCTGCGGAGCCGCGGCTGGGGACGGAGGCGGTGGGATGAGGTAAAAACGGCTCGAAATGGGGTTCGGGTGGGGGGAGGGTGTGTCAGGTTTTACCTCAGGGTGCTGGTGGGTCTTTACTGGGCGGGGGGGGCCCTCTCGGGGACCCCCCTTTAATTCTTGGGGGGGTCCCATGTGCCACGGGGACCCCCCCTTTAATTCTTGGGGGGGGTCCCATGTGCCACGGGGACCCCCCCTTTAATTCTTGGGGGGGTCCCATGTGCCTTGGGGACCCCCCTTAAAGTTTAGGAGGGTCTCATGTGCTTTGGGCCCCCCTCATAATTCTTGGGGGGGTCCCATGTGCCACGGGGACCCCCCCTTTAATTCTTGGGGGGGTCCCATGTGCCACGGGGACCCCCCCTTGATTCTTAGGGGGGTCCCATGTGCCACGGGGACACCCCCTTTAATTCTTGGGGGGGTCCCATGTGCCACGGGGACCCCCCCTTGATTCTTAGGGGGGTCCCATGTGCCTTGGGGACCCCCTCTTAATTTTTAGGGGGGTCCCATGTGCCACAGGGACCCCCCCGAATGTTTAGGGGGACCCCATGTGCCTTGGGGACCCCCTCTTAATTTTTAGGGGGGTCCCATGTGCCACAGGGACCCCCTCTTAATTTTTAGGGGGTTCCCATGTGCCACAGGGACCCCCCCGAATGTTTAGGGGGGTCCCATGTGCCTTGGGGACCCCCCTTAAAGTTTAGGAGGGTCTCATGTGCTTTGGGCCCCCCTCATAATTCTTTGGGGGGGTCCCATGTACCTCAGAGACCCCCCCAGCCACCCAGGGCGGGTCCCAGGCCTTGGGAAGACCCCCCCCCATACTTAGGGGTGCCCTCCATGTCATGGGGACCCCCCCTGTTAACTCTCGGGGGGGGTCCCAAGCCTTGGGGTTCCCCCCAAATATTTGGGGGGGGGCCTAGCTGCCCAGGGAACCCCCCCAAACCCCTTAAGGAGAGTCTAGAAACCCTGAGGACCCCCCAAACCCTTGAGGGGGGGGTCCTAGGCCTCCAGCACCCCCTTAATTATTAAAGGAGGGGGGGCTGTCTCATGCTGTGGGGACTCCCCAACCATTGGGGGGGGGGGCTAGACCTCGGGGACCCCCACCCCAATGCTTTGGGGGGGTTCTACATACTTTGAGGGGCGTCTACATGCTTTGGG